GTGCCTTTTTTGTGGATGTATGCAATTATTTATTTTGTACATATACTTGAAAAGGAATTACTGGGTCACAAGATAATTGTATGTTTAGTTTTCATAGACAACGGCCAGAAAATATTATTTTTCCCATTGAGTTATCCTTCTATTCTTGTTAAAAATCAATTTATTATAAACGTGTGGGTTTATTTTGGACTCTAAATTCTATTGCATTCATCTGTATGTTTATCCTTATGCCTATCCCACACAGTGTAGAATCCCTCAGTTCCTCTCACTTCTTTTTTTTGTCCTGATAAAGAAACACAGCCTTGACCACTCTGTGATCCAGACGAGTGCATGTTTTCCCTTGTGAGGTACAGACACCACATTTTCTTCATCCATTCATCAGTTGCAGGGCACTTATTTAGTTTCTATATCTTTGCTATAGTGAAGAATGCTGTGTTGAACACGAGTGTGCAAATGATAATAATTTTATTTCTCTTGGATGAATACCTAGAAATGAGATTGAAGGATCATATGGTAGTCCGATTTTTACTATTTTGAGAAATTTCCATAATTTTTACATAATTGCTGTACCAATCTAACAGTGTACAATAATTCTTTCTCCACATTTTCACCAAAACATCTTATCTTTTAAATTTTTGATAATAGTCATCCTAAAGGTGTGAGGTGATATCTCATTGTGGTTTTAATTTGCTCTTCCTTAATGATTAGCATTATTAAGCATATATGTGTTAGCCATTTGTATGTTTTCTTTTGAGAAATATCTATTTAGGTGTTTTGTCTATTTTTAAATCAGGTTATCTGTTTTCTTCCTATTGAATTGTTTGTGTTTCCCATATGTATTGACTCCTTATTGGATACATGGCTTGCAAAAATTTTTCCATTCCATGGTCTTCTTTTTCACTCTGTTGACTGTCACTATTTTTGTTTTTGTTTTTTTTGCTGTGGAAAAACTTTCTAGTTTGATGTAGTCCTGGTTTATTTTTGTTTTTCTTGCCTCTGCTTTTGGTGTCACATCCAAAAAAAAATCGTTGACAAGACCAACAGCAAGGAGCATTTCTCTCCTGTTTTCTTCTAGCATTTTTGCAGCTTCAATTCTTTCATTTATGTCCTTAATCCATTTGATTATACTTTTGTGTAGGGTTTCATTTTTCAGCATGTGAATATTCCATTTTTCCAGCACCACTTATTGAAGAGACTACCTTTTCCCCAATTAGTATTCCTGGCACCTATGTTGAAAATTAGTTCATTATATGTGTGGGTTTATTTTTTCTCTTTTTTCCCATTTTTATTTTAGATTCAGGAGTTACATGTGCATGTTTGTTACATAGACATATTGTGTAGTGGTGGGGATTTGGTTTCAGGTGGCCCATTCCCCATATAGTGAACACTGTATCCATTAGGTAATTTCTGAACCCTAACCCTCTCCCCACCTTTATTGGTGTCTCCAGTGTCTATTAGTTCCATATTTGTGGCCTTTTAACTCCCACATATAAGTGAGAACATGCAGTATTTGGTTTTCCATTTCTGAATCAGTTCACTTACAATGATCTTCAGCTCCATTCATGTGGCAGCAAAGGACATGATTTCATTCTTTTTAATGGTTGTATAATATTCCATGATGTTTATATACCACAATTTCTTTATCCAGTCAATTGCTGGTGGGCACTTAGGTTGGTTCCTTGATTTTGCTATTGTGAATAGGGTTGCAATGAACATATCACACAGGTTTCTTTTTTTAATATATCGATTTATTTTCCTTTGGGTAGATCCCTGATAGTGGCATTGTTGGGTCAAATGGTAATTCAATTTTTAGTTCTTTCAGAAGTCTCCATACTGTTTTCCATAGAGATTGAACTGGTTTCTAATCCCACCAACAGTGAACAAGCATTTCCTTTTCTCCACAACTGTGCCAACATCTGTTCTTTGTCTTCCTAACAATAGCCATTCTTTCTTTCGGTGGGGTCAGGGGGATAGAGATGAGGTCTCGCCTTGTTGCCCAGGCTGTTCTCGAACTCCTGGGCTCAGGTAATCTTCTCTCCTCAGCCTCCCAAGGTGCTGGGATTATAGGCATGACCCACCATGCCCTGCCACAATAGCCATTCTTACTGATGTGAAGTGATATCTCATTATGATTTTAATTTGCATTTCTCTGAGTATTAGTGATGTTGAGCATTTTTCCATGTTTGTTGGTCACTTGTGTGTCTTCTTTTGGGAAGTGTCTATTCATGTCCTTTGCCCACTTTTTGCCGGGGTTATTTGTTTTAATGTTGAGTTGTTTGAGTTCCTTCTATATTCTGGATATTAGAACTTTGTCTGAGACATAATTTGCAAACATTTTCTCCCATTTAGTAGGTTTCTGTTCACTCTATTGATTATTGCTTTTGCTGTGCAGAAGCTTTTTGGTTTAATTGGGTCCCTTTTGTCTATTTTAAGTTTTGTTGCAACTGCTTTGCCCAGGCCAGTGTTCAGAAGAGTGTTTCCTAAGTTTTCTCCTAAGATTTTCATAGTTTCTTGCACTTAAATCTTTAATTCATCTTGAGTGAATTTTTTATATGGTGAGAGATAGAAGTCCAGGTTCATTCATCTGCATATGTCCAACCAATGCTCCCAGAACCATGTATTGAATATATGTCCTTTCTTCACTGTTTATTTTTGTCAACTTTGTCACTTGGTTGTAGGTATGAGGTTTTATTTCTGGGTTCTCTACTCTGTTCCATTGGTCTGTCTATTCTTGTATCAGTGCCATGACTTTTTTTTTTTTTAACCATAGCCTTATAATATAATTTGAAGTCAGGTAGCATGATGCCTCTGAAATTGTTCTTTCTTCAATGTGTGGGTTTATTTTTGTACTCTCTATTCTGTTCTACTCTTGTATTGAAGTTCCCTACTATTATTTTATTGCTGTCTATTTTCTGCTTCAGAAATATTAATATTTACCTTATTTACTTAGGTCTGCCAAGATGGGAACATATATGTATTTACAATTATTATATGATTTTTATGAGTTGACCCCTTTATTATTATATAATGACTTCTTTTCTCTTGTTACATTTTTATTAGTCTATTTTGTCTGAGATAGTATAGCTACCCCCCTTTCTTTTTTTATGTTAATTTTTTTATTTTAAAGATGTGGGGTACAACTCAGGGTTAGGTATACAAATGTTCATTATGCAGGTACCCTTGTTGATGAGGTGTGCCCCCCCAGCAGAATTCCACTACTGCCAATCCTAACTTGCCCCACCTCCCCACCCCCAGTTTCTCACTACTGCCAATCCTTTTTTAAAAATAATATTATGATAATTGTTCAAGGTCTACTTATGAGTGAGAACATATGATGCTCAGTTCTTTGTTTCTGTGATAGATCACTCAGTATTACAGACTCTAAGTCCATCCATGTTGGTGTGAAGTTCATGATTTTGTCCTTCTTTATGGCTGCATAATATTCCATCATGTATATGTACCACATTTTAAAAAACCAGTCCTCTTTTGATGGGCAGCACCGTTCCACATTCTTGCTATTGTGAACAATGCTGCAATAAACATGCATGTGCAGGTATCTTTTTCATAGAGTGATTTGAGTTCCTCTGGGTATATTCCCAGTAGGGGGATTAGGGGGTCGTCTGGAAGGTCGATTTTTAGATCTTTTAGGAAATCGGCACACTGTTTTCCACAGAGGATGTACTAGCTTACACTCTCATCAACAGTGTATGTGTTCCCTTTTCACTCCATCCTCTCCAGCATTTGCTGTTTTTTGAGTTATTAATGATGGCCATCCTAGTTGGAGTTAGGTGGTATCTCAGTGTAGTTTTAATTTGCATTTCTTTGATGACTAGTGAAATTGAGCATTTTTTCATGTATCTGTTGGCTGCTCATATTTCTTCTTTTGAGAAGTGTTTACTTATATATTTTGCTCACTTTGTAATGGGCTGTTTGTTTTTTTCTTTTTGGCACATTAGAGTTCCTTGTAGATCCTAGATGTTAGGCCTTCGTCAGACATATAGTTGGCAAATATTTTTTCCCAGGCTGTGGGCAGTCCTCCTGCTCTCTTGATGGTTTCTTTGACTTTGTAGAAGCTTGTCGGTTTGATGAGGTCCCACTTATCTATCTTATCTCTTATGGCATAGGCACTTGAGGTTTTGATCAGGAATTGGTTGCCAGTTTCAATTTCCATATGGGTGTCTCCTGCATTTTCTAAATTTCTTACAGTTTGAGGTTTTATGTTTAGACCTTTGATCCATTTAGAGTTAATTTTTGTGTATGGTGATAGGTAGGGGTATTGTTTCAATCTTCTGCATGTGGTCAGTCAGTTTTCCCAGCATCATTTACCGAAGAGGTTCTCCTCTCCCCCTGGTTGTTATTGTAGGCTTTGTCGAAGATGAGTTGGTTGAGAAATTGAGGTTTTGTTTCTAGATTCTCTATCCTGTTCCGTTGGTCTATATGCTGGTTCTTGTACCAATACCAGGCAGTTTTGTGTTTTTTGTTGTTGTTGTTGAGGATTGTTTTGGTGATTCATGGTCGTTTATGTTTCCATATGAATTCCTGTATTGTCATTTCCAGGTCTGAAAGAATGCTGCTGGTAATTTAATGGGTATCACGTTAAATCTGTAGATTGTTTTGGGTAGGATGAACATCTTAACGTTGTTTCTTCCGATCTATGAGCATGGAATATGTTTTTCATTTGTTTGTGTCATCTTTGATTTCTTTGAGCAGTGTTTTGTAGTTTCGGTTGTAAAGGTCTTTCACGTCTCTGGTTAGGAAGATTTCAAGGTATTTCATTTTTGTGTGTGGCTATTGTGAATGGGATTGTGGTTTTATAATTTTGGAGGTTTTTTATTGTTACGAAGGGGACCCCATCGAGCAGGGCCCATGGGTGTGGTCCCAGGATGTCACCACGGAGACAGCGAGAGGTCATGGCTGCAGAAGAGGCGACTGGACTTGGACATGATCCAGGGGGGCCAGCTGGGATTGTGAGAGACATGATCAGGACTGCCAGGGGCGGGGGCGTGGGCAGGGAGCAGGCAGGGCGGGCAGCACCTCACTCCCGCTTCTTGTAGCTCTCCAGGTGCGACAGGACCCAGCCCGCCGGCAGGAGGAAACACAGGAAGCAGGAGGTGATCCCGATGGCGACATCCTGCACAGGGCACAAGAAAGAAGGGACCCCGAGTAAGGCCTGCTCTGGGCTCTAACCCCAGGCAGCAGAAAGCGCCCGCAGGAGCCAGGACTCGGAGGCTGGAGGGCCCCGATGTCTCCAAGTTAAAGGAAACCGAGCTCCAGGGAGTGGGCACAGCAAGCCCAAGGCCCCCACTGCCCCTGCAGGTGAAGGGTCAGCCATGGGGGGGCAGCCAGGTCGGGATCCTGGGGGAACGCCACAAGCAAGGGGCAGGGACAGGATTTAAGCTGTCGTGAAGCGGATCTGTTGAGGCACCCTCCCTGGGCCAATCACTCACACTCAACCTTTTCTTCCTCAGTCACTGCAGCCTCAAACTCCTGGGTCAAGCAATCCTCCCGCCTCAGCCCCCAAGCAGCTGGGACCACAGGCATGCACTACCACACCTGGCTGATTTTTGTTTTTTTGAGGCAAGGTCTCGCTGTGTTGCCCAGGCAGATCTCAAATTCCTGAGCTCAAGCAAAGCAATCCTCCGGACTTCCCCTCCCGAAGTTCTGGCATCACCAGTGCCAGCCACTGCGCCTGGCCTCTTCCCTGCCTAAACCCCTCCCTTTCCACCCCCTCTCCAGGGCTCAACACTTGCGACTAGGGATAAGACTTCCCATCTTCCTGATCACAGGATGGGCTGGGTGCACACAGGCACGGATGCCCAGACAGGGACACAAAACGCTTCTTGGATGCTCACATTCTCTAGAGGGGACTGCTCTCGGGCCGAGCTGGCTGGGCACGAAGGAAGGCCAGGGGAAGGTCACCAGATCTGGCGACCACAGTAAGGATGGAGGAGCTTGGGGTTCAACCTCAACCGGCCACTCGCGGCCTAAACGCCCCCGCCCCCACACGTGCTGCAGGACCTAGCAGGAATAGGAAGGAAAGGGGCGGGGGGGGGGGGGCCACTGGGCTGCCAGGGGCATTCTCAGACCCCAGGCCACCACCCTCCCACCAACCACGGCAGTGGCTCAAGACGCAGAATGAAAGCTGGGCTGGAACAGTCCTCCGGGACAGGGCACCACCACCCATCCATTAAGTTCCAGGGTCATGAAAATGGGAGACACCCCATCAAAGCCTGGCGGGGCAGCAGTTACCACAGAAACCCTAGACACCTCTCTTGGCCAGACGTGGTGACCCACACCTGTAATCCCAGCACTCAGGAAGGCAGAGGGACAAGATCACTTGAGCCCAGCACTTTGAGACCAGCCTGGGCAGTACAGCAAGACCTCGTCTCTCCACAAAAATTTAAAAACTAGCCGGGTGCGGTGATGTATGCCTGCAGTCCTGGCTATTGGAGAGGCTGACGCAGAAGGATCACCTGAGTCCGGAAGGTCAAGGTCATGTTGAGCCATGACCCCACCGCAGCACTCCAGGCTGGGCGGCAGAGTGAGACTTTGACCCCAAAACAATGAAAATTTCTAGAAAAAGATCACAGAACAGCTTGGAGTCACTCCCTAATAGCTGGGACTACAGGTGTGCACCACCATACCAAGTTAGTTTTTTTTTTTTGAGTTGGAGTCTCACTCCGTCGCCCAGACTGGAGTGCAGTGGCCGCTCCCGGCCACTGCAGCCTCGACCCACTGGGCTCCGGCGATTCTTCCGCCTCAGCCTTCCTAGTAGCCGGAATTACAGGTGCGCGCTACCACGCCCGGCTGACTTGTGATTTATTGTACAGATGAGGTCTCACCAAGTTGCCCAGGCGGGTCACGAACCCGTGGGCTCAGGCAATCCACTCACCTCAGCCTCCCAAAGGCAAGGGATTACAGGCTGAGCCACCGCGCCTGGCTCCAAGTTAGTTTTTATAAAAATTGTATTTGAGTCAGAGTCTCACTCCGTCGCCCAGGCTGGCTCCAGCAATCCTGCCTCAGCCTTCCTAGTAGCTGGAACTACAGGCATGCGCTAATTTTTTTGATTTATTGTAGAGACGCGGTCTCACCACGGTCCCCAGGCTGGTCTCGAACCCGCAGACTCAGGCCATCCTCTCGCCTCTGCCTCCCAAAGTGCTGGGAGGACAGGCTTGAGCCACTGCACCCAGCCAAGGTGTGACTTTTCACCGTCAACACGCTGCCCCTGAGTCTCAGTATCTCAACCGCGAAGTGGGGACCGTGGAGTCACCAGGAAGGACCGCAAGAGACTCTGGGGCCCGGGCTGGGTTGGAGTGGCCCAATCAAAGAGCTCCTGGAAGCCTTGAACTCCCAGTCTCGAAAGCGATCCTCCCGTCTTCGTCTTCCAGAGGGCTGGGGTGACAGGGCGAGTGCAGCAGTCTCGGTCCGTGGCTGGGAACACACAGCAGGCCCTCGGCGATGCCTTGGGGTCGCAGCCGACACGGTGACCCTCGACGGGTTAAAGCCCAAATGGGGCCAGGCTCGGTGGCTCAGCGTGTAATCCCAGCACTTAGGGAGGCTGAGGTGAGTGGAGTGCCTGAGCCCGCGGGTTCCAGACTCGCCTGGGCAACTTGGCGAGACCTCAATCTCTACAAATCAAAAATTAGCCGGGCGTGGTAGCGCGCTCCTGTAGTTCCAGCTACTTGGAAGGCTAAGGCGGAAGGATCACTGGAGCCCAGCAGGTCGAGGCTGCGGTGCCCGGGAGTGGCCACTGCACTCCAGTTTGGGTGACAGTGAGACTCCAACTAAAAAAAAAAAAAAAAACAAAAAAAGCCCAAATGGGCGAAGGCGGTCCCAAAGAGCTAAAGCAATCCCAGCACTTTGGGAAGCAGAGGCTAGAGGATGGCCTGAGCCCGGGGGCTCCAGACCAGCCTGGGCAACGTGGCGAGACCTCATCTCTACAATAAATCAAAAAACTAGCCGGGCATGGTGGCGCGTGGATGTGGCTGCAGCTCCTTGGAAGGCTGAGGCGAGAGGACGGCCTGAGCTCGGGAGTTCGAGACCAGCCTGAGCAACATGGCCAGACCTCGTCTCTGCAATTAAAAAAAAATTAGCCGGGCTTGGTGGCGCGCGCCTGTGGTTCCAGCTCCTTGGAGGCTGTTGGGAGGATGGCGGAGCCCAGCAGGTCGAGGCCGCGGTAGCCGGGGGCGTGCCGCTGCGCTCCAGCCTAGGCGACAAGCGAGACCCCGACTCAAGGAAAAGAGCCAGGGTGCCCCACATTCCCGGGACCCCAAAGACCGGTCGGGGTGCCCGCCCCTCCCCGCGACGAGCCGTGGCGGCGACGTCCACGGTCGCCAGGCCCCTCGAGGGCTCGGGAGCAATTGAGGCCGCACGG